GCTGGGCTCCGGCGCTTTCGGGCACTGCTGTCGGGATCTCTTCCCTGCGCCTTGCCCTCGGAGGGAACAAGCGTTTCTTGCCGCTGTTGCAGCTTTTCCCTGGAGGCCGCCTGGCCGCTGGCTTTGGGGAACAGGAGGTTAGGGTGGCTGGGGGGGTGCTGAAGTTCGGCATCTCTCGAGGGCAGGTGTCTCTGGGCGGCAGAGGTGCTCCGTCGGCACCAGGTGCGGGTGGCTCTGCTCTCGTTCTCCACCTGTTTCGATAGCTGTAGGAGTTCTGCGTTCCGTGGGAAGCTTTCAAGGGGCTCTGGTGGAGCATCGCTGGCAGTCGTTGCCGTCTGCCATAGTTCCAGTCCTTCTGTAGCACTGCGTGTTTTAAGAGGCTCTTCTGAAAATGAAGGCAGGTTCCAGCCTTGGCGTTGTAGTGACGAGGAGGGAGCGTGCTCTGATCGCTGTGAGCTTGCCCACGCTACAGCAAGTAGCTTGAATGTTCTCTAATGTTTTAATTTAGCTTGAAGTGACCTGAAATTGAGGCTTCTTCCCCTTTCTTTGTGTGCAGCTTTTGTATAGACTGCGGAGGCTTAAAATTGTCATGGACTTATTGTCCTTGGGGTTAATCACAGGCTTGTTTTTAACGTAAGATGTTTTCAAGTTTTGCGTAACTGTTTTTAGATTTCCAATGAAACTATAACGAGTCCCTGATTGGACATTAGAAATTCAGTGTGTGTTCTTACTGGAAGTACCTTCCTTGCATACTCCTTTGTGTTGCTTCATTCACCCGGGTTTGATTTCCACCACTGCTGCGTTTGTGGGTGACGCTGTGGGGAAATGGGGCAATTTGATGTAAGTTCGTTCACGGATGCCGGCGGCGGGAGCTCAGGCGGGTCCGCGGTGCCCCACCGCCTGCCGGTCGTTAGGGTACCGGCTGCTGAGCTGGCTGGTAGAGCAGGCTCTGTGGGGACGCTTCGGGGGGAGGAATTGTGCGTGCGTGGGGAAAAATTCCCTTACGCTTCAGGTTTAACGTGGAAAACTCTAGGACTGGGGAGGAGGGAGAAATTAGCCGTGTAGCATTTGTAATTTTCTTTTTAAATGAGAAAATACTCTTCCAGCTACAGCTGGTCTTGCTGGGAGGAAAGCCTTCCTGATGTTCACTAGTTTTCTGCTTGTTTCAGCGTATATCCTGTTATTCCTAGGGCTCTGCAGGAAGAACAGTGGTAAGTTCCCCTCCCTTGAGAGCGGGCCGTGTCCCATGTCACCCGTTCCCAGGCCGCTGCAGGACCGTTCCCCCTTCTGCACTTTCTAAAGTCCCTGTGAAATTCTGTGGCTGTTTCCCCAGATCTCTTCGTACTTAGAGGAAGGGTTTCTTTTAACTTGATTTCCCTGTTTGTCGTTCCAGCCTCTCCTTTGAATATAAACACCACCGTCGCCCTGCTGGGGTTAGCAGCCTTCAAATATTTGCGCAAGATGGCTGTGCCCTCTGTTTGGCCAAGGGCTGTGTCCACAGTTCTCGCGCGTCTCCTGCCGCAGCCAGCTGTTCCTCTGGCTCTGCCCCAGCCTCCGAGGCCCAGAGGTCGCACAGGAACGCAGAAAAAACCTTTGCTATCTAGATTCCAGATTTCCTGAGTCTGTCCCGCGCCTTGAACCTTTTCCCTCTCGTATTAAGCTAAACGTGCGAAAGCAGCCCGAATCAGGGCTTCCCCCGGGGCTCCTCCCATCCCCCAACACCATTAACGGGTTTCTCTTCGTACCGGGGGCGCAGCCCTGAGTTACCCTGCGATCGTCCCATCCCGCGCAGGTGCTGATCTGCTGACCCCCGCGGCGGGCAGCCCCCCCCTCCCCGCGGCGGGCAACCCGCGCCTTGCGGAAGCACCGTCGG